CCACGCCGTCGCCTGGTCCGGCTTCACCACCATCAACTTCGCCGTCGCCTGGTCCGGCTTCACCACCATCATCCTCGCCGTCGCCTGGTCCGGCTTCACCACCACCACCATTTTGGGTCCTCCTCCTGCTTGCCACACTGCAATCCATGACAGAAGCGTGAAGTTATTCAGTTGAATGTGGAACTCCAAGTGTCCCTCATACGCTTCAAGATGTCCAATAGATTAGGTACTTCACAAACTTCAATGTAATTGGATTTTCGATGAAAAATCTGGGAGAAGTGAGGAAAGTTAGGAGAGAAACAGAATTAGTAAGAAAATGCATGTCATTGATTGAATTAGAAAAAGCACAAGTAGAAAGCTTACAGTAGAGGTGGGTCACAAAGTAGCTTGCAGCAAATGTAGATGGGCTAAAGCATCTTAAATAAGATATTCTCTATGAGATTTGCAAAGTAGAAACGGATCTGACAGACTGTTCAGTCCATGGTCTGTCAGAAATGATTTATTATTTATTTGGTCCTAAATCAATAAATATTAGTGTGTCTGTGATAGAATCCACATAAAACACTAAAGATTTCCTGTTAGTCTCCTTGAAAATGATTAAAAGATTATTTTCCTGATCACTGAATGGCTGATTAATTGTATAATTATTCAGTTCTACTTGTTTTCTATTAAATGTGAGCCTGATAAGTACCCTCATTAGCAGCTGAAATGATACTGAGCTCTACAAACCTGCGGATGTCTGTTTCTTTCTTGGCATTTCTGTTGGAAATGTAAACTTGAAAAACCTACTGTTGTTTACTAAAGACATATTGAAAACTTGCAGGATGTCAAATGAAAGTGAAAAAGTTTGGAGAGTTGCCATGCTGTTTTGGGGGCTCTGAAATTACAAACTGTAGCAAGTTCAAAATGATTTTACAGTCTCTCACGTTTCGCTGCAAAAATTCTTGTTTTACAAACGTGCAACACATTTGTATGCAGCTACAACTATGTCTGAAATCCCTCACAATGCATGCAGCTACCTTCTCTCACGCTTCTCGCCTTTCCTGCTTAAAACCAGAAAATCTCAATTTCCTGGAGATCGAGGCGAATGCAGTGCTTCTTTTCTCAGATCAAGTCTGGAGCCTGATACGATGCCATGCGAATAAAGAAAAATCACAACAGAGAAGGCGAGTTTGTGATGAAAATGCTCCTTTGTCCTAACAATTCTGAACACTCGTAGGGGAAAAATCCAAAGGCTTCAACCACAAGGTCACTGAAATATTACAAAACAGAGTATCCATTTACAGAAGCATAAAATAGCAACATAACTAACGAAACAAAATAACACGATAACAATGCAAAAAAAGTATCAGATAGTGAAAGGTAAAAACAGAACAAAAACAACAACAAAAAGCACCAACATGAAAAAAAATGATGAAAAACACAAAAAACTAGCCTCACTATAAAAAACACATCCACTGGCTTGGTACACAACACACAACAGGTCAAGCACTGTCTTTCTAAACGCAGAAAGCAACATCACAACAAATAAAAACAATGCAATATAACACTTATAAACAAGAAAATATGATACAGCCCATGGCAATATCAACAAAGCTACATGCATCAACATTCTCAATAACATCTATGACATGAAAAATTGCAAGAGAACATTCAATGGTTGAAAGTAACAACACAAACGGTAACAAAAAGAAATCAACAAAGAAACTACACAAAGGAATAAAGTGACAAATTGCAAAAAGCAAAACAATGAAAAGCAAATTTATTAAAAAAGCAACAAAATGTAACAGCAAAACTTAACGTTAAAATGTAAATACAGTAAAAGACAACATTGCGAAAAACAGCAACAAGACATGAAACAACAGCAACACAACCACAACAACCAACAATCAAAAGCCTCAAATGTCAAAAAGTAACAAGCAAGAAAAATAGCAACATCACGACAAAACACAACAAATGAAAGCAATAAATGATTACAACCCAATGAACAGGAACAACAAATAGAAAAGCAATAAAACAGCTACACAAATACAGGAAAACAATGAAAAATGCAGCAAGCAATAACCAATGAAAGGCAACAATGCAAATGATAATAACGTGATGAAAGGAACAAATAACAACACAAGAAAAAGGAACAACAAGCAGCAAGAATCATTAAACAGCAATAAACATAACAAAAATCATCATCAACACAGAAAACAGCAACAATCAAAAGCTGTTGACAAGTTGACCAACCTCTGCATGTCGTGAATGACAAACTCTCCCACGGTTTTTTTCTGCTTCGGCCTCTCTGAACCAGGCATTACCTCACCTACCAGTTGTCCCATTTGTCATTAGTGATCCAGAGAGAGCGTTCATGTCTTACATCACAAGGTGAAATTACAGCAGACCTGACACGGTGCTCTTATTCTGACGAGACTTCCTGCTCTGATTTTTTTTTTCTCTCCTCCTCGTTCATGGTGAGCAAACCTCCCCTTTTCTGGTCACAGAGTTGAGAAGGCGTCACTATTTTCCCTTCTTTCTATGTGGTTTCAGAACTGGAAAACTGATGTAATCTGTCACATCACTGCTGGTGTTTCTAACTGGAATTGCGGTTGAATTTGTGACACTGGGGGATGAGGGGGTTTGTGGGTAATATGAGGATGGATGATCTGAGAAGGGGCTAAAAACACAATATGATCCCCTAAAAATGTTCTCGTCCCTCACTTTAATGACTTCAGTGTGGAGTCTGCAGCTGCGTCCAACCAGACCTCAGTCAGTTTTCCAAATTTAAAGACATCTTCTCTTAGGTTCACTTTCTCTAAGACGACCATTGAATCTGTGAAGAACGGCAACACAGTTTTTCGCTCTTGGGTTTTTTGCAATTTCTCTGAACATTGCACAGTTTGACCTCGGGGTGAATTTCTTGTGCATTCGTGTCTGGGAAGTTTGGCAGCTGCCTTGAATGTTTTTGATTTGTAAATATTTTTTTTCATTGTAGAATGATAGACTTCAGATTCCTTGGAAATACCCTCATATCCCTTCCCAGACTGATGGGTAACAGTTGCTCCCCTTAATTCATTGCTGAAGTATTTTCTCTTTGGCACCGTGTTAACACACACCTGAAGGTTCCAGACCCGCAAACTGACAAAACTTCTGCTTTTCATCAAGTGCATTCAAATCAGCATCATGTGGCTGCTACTTACCCTTTAAATTCCCATGGAAACACTGAGGTATAGTTAGTTTTTCACAGGACTGCAAGGTATTTTGAAAAAGTGGTTTTTTTGCATGATAAAAATGATCAAAATTGGCATTTTGACCACTGCTGTGTTAGTTTTTCAGAAAAGAAGTAATCACATTTGTAAGAGGGCTTTTAAGTAACGTCAGCATGCTTGGTTATCTTATCTTAGCTCTAATATGTACCTGGAGTAGATATACAGAAACCTTTGGCAAGTTCTGAATTTTACTTGCTTATTTAGAAATGTTGTAATGTTTAATATATCTATATAGACTATTGTCTTTGAGTATAGTGATCAAACCTAATCACCAGACTGAAATGCTACAGGTTGATAAGCTCATTTCAAGAAGTTGCTTAAGCAGAAAATTAATGTCTAAGATTCTTTAAACTTGTTTGATCATCTTCAAAAGGCAAAAATTTAATCTCGTCTGTCACTAAAGGTGGATTTCAGTGCTTGTGTGAACTAAAAAATTTTTGAAAAGATTTTTATTTGTGTTAACATTAAGTGGCGTTTACTCCCCCCTTACAGTCACAGGCGTTTACTTTGATACTCCCCAACTTCTAATTTTCAGCTGTGAAGAGGCTGGAGCTGAGAAATTGAACACAGCTGAAGATAAACACTTCCTATCCATCCTGTCTGACTCTCTGATTAATCCCTGCGAGCATTTCCCAATTTAAACATAATGGATGTCACTGTTGTTGATATTTTCATCTCTCATCTTCAACGAAACACATTTCCTGTGTCCTGAGTTAGGAAATATGGGTTAAATTTATTATTTTACTTCAACAGATTAGTGATCTTCACAGGATGTACCCTGCCTCTCACTCTATGACAGCTGGGATAGTCTCCAAATCTCGACAACTCTGAATTAAGTATTGATTAATTCAATTAATAGTAGTTAAGAAAATAGAAAAACATAATAAGGTTCTGTTCTAGGTAATAAACAGATAAAGCTTTATGCATGTGGAGGGTAAATAAAGACACTTTTTTTTAAAAAGGACTCAAAACTTCTTTATTGTTAAAAATCAATATAGAAACAAATGTATGTAGAAAAACATCAACAGCAATACATTCTTATTTTTCCTTACAAAGCACTCATCTGTTTTAAATGATCCCTGCTTTATAATAATGGGCTTTATAAATGAAGGCGGTCAGGATTGCAGCTGGAAGGTAAAGGCACAGTACACTGCTTTATTGTCAGGAAACAGCATCTAAGCAGGACTGCGCAACACTGTGTGGAAGAATCAGAAAACACCCTGCTAATGCTGTATTATATCACTGCTCTCTACTGTCTCTGCCTCCATCACTCCACCATATATTATTAGTGTGACAGTAGGTAAGTTTGAGGCTGGTGGAAGGACAGGAAGTTAACGGCAGCCTTAAGTATTATAAAGATAGATTAGCAATTTAGTTAATAGCCCTAATCTGTGACTTTCATTACTGCACTTCTCAGATACCACAGTCATGTAATCTGTTTCCTGCCAGTGAGAAAATTTATATTACAACACACACTGCAACTAATTGAACGGCTACCTAGTCTGCTCATTTTCAGCACTCTGCTTCTTTTCTTGACTCTACTAGAGTAGCTTTGCATGATTCACAGTTCAAATAAAAATCGATACTTATATTTGCCCTTCATAAAGCCCTCCTTTTAATGAACCCCTCAGTTCATTAAGTGAGTTGTTAAGCATTTCTAACAACTCCATTCCCCCTTCTTTCTTCTGATTGGCCAACATTTGGAAGCCTGTTGACAGAGTTATACTGTCTGGTTGTACTAACTACTCAGAGTAGTTTGAAAGCTGAGCTTTTGGCTTAGAAGGATTACTTGAACCTCATTCTTTGAAACCTGGTGACTCGTAATATTAACATTCAGCATCTTAATGTTATATTCATATGACAGGTAAGAAAATGCAGACTAGGTGCCCTTAAAGAAATGCCCATTTGAAGACACGTAGAAAGGCAGATCATGGCACTCCATTAATTTTTCTAACTTAGTTTCCATCTCTAGATGTTGGTTAAGTAAACAGCACGTTTAATCCAGATATTTCTGGATTTGCTAGCCATCAGAACATCATTAGAACATTTCAGCCACATTATAGTTATCTATTACTGTTTTCTTACTAATGTTGTTATTATGATCAGATTTTGTCTCAGACATTTTTGTTGTTCATTGGGTCATTAAATTTGTTTTGATGAAACTTTACTTTCGTTAAAAATTGTTAAAAATTGTATCTTTCAATTTCAGTTATTAATGCCTTTCTTATGTGTTGCTAAACATATCACAAACAATATAACAGGATTTATTTCCATGCATAATTTCCATAAGAAGATATATACAAACCCTTTAAAGACTGAAATGTCTGAGTTCTGAGCCAGATGGCTCATTGTTCCCGCAACTATCTGATTGTGACAAATAGTGTAAGTGAATAAAACTGGTGTCTGAGGTTTCCGTTGAGGACTGCATACAGGCTAGTTGTCTAGCTACTCAAGGAAACAGATACTCATAGCGTTCCTGATCTAGCTATCGCTGCCCCTACTTTAGGCTTTCGTCTCACAGACCTATAGACTGCTTGCTAGGGAAAATATTGAGAGTGTTTGCAAGCATGTTGGCATCTTCCATGCCAATCTATAGGTCCTGTAGGCTTTTGGAGCAGTGCCTACTTTGTTACCAGGTTCAGCCAGTGACATCTAGCAACCACTCTCCAATATTTCTTCCCTAGTAACTGGTGGTTGCCATGTGATGGGTTGCTAGGCCTGCATGACTGGGTCTGTTGTTGAGCTTGAAAAACCACCAGGGCAATTATGGCTCCAATGAGTTAATTTGGTAAAATACAGAAAGAGACTGTATTTAGGGAAATGTTTTATGTGATTAACCAGGCATCAGATGGCAATTAGTTTCCATCTTTAGGACCAGTTAACAAGTTAATTTCCCATTTGAATATTTTAACCCTACCTAACTAGAAATAAAATCTTTAAACGTAATTTGGTTATTAAAATGTAAATAATTCTGCTTTTGACTTGCAATCAGGCAGCAATATTAGTTTCCCACCATGCTCTAGCATGAGGAAGGACAAAGAAGAGCATATTATAGTACCATTTGTTTTTTTTTCCTTTTTTTTTTTGGGCCATGGTGAGAGAAATGCATCTGCAAAAATGTACTGAAAAAAAAATACATTCTCTCCATATACATATAAATACATTTCTGCTGTGCAAAATGCAAGTGTAAAAGCCTCTCACCGAAGCTCAGCGTTCAGTCAACACATCCAACGTATTGACATGTAAAGCATGAATTTTAGGCATTTCACCTAAAAATGTAGTTTAAAGCACCAAAACTCAGGCCAGCTTGATATTTACTCTAAAGGACAATGATAAAAAGCCGCAGCTCTTTCTCCATTAATAGATCAGTTAATGGACGATCAATTAATTGTTTGTCTATTTTCAAGTAAAACATTTGCTGCTTCTTAAATATAAGAATTACATGACAGTAAGCAAAATATGTGTTTCAGAAATTAGATGGGCTATTTTTTACTGGCTAATCAAAAATAACTGGCAGGTTAATTAATAATGAAAATTAATTAAAGAACAGCAGATTCACAAAGCTGGATTAGTTACCTACAATGCTAACTTAGTTCCTGAAAAATATCACCGGACTGTATTTTTGGGGCACCTTTCAGAGCAGAATGTACATTATTTGGTATTTATATTTTCAAATACATTATATACTTTTAATGTTTAAAATAGGTTTCTTATTGCTGATATCCAGTAAATTTATCACACATGATGCTGTCTATATTTTCCACACTAACTAATGAAGCATTGGTTAAAGACTGGTGATATGGGTGACTGCCAGTTGTTGATGGATGAATGTGAAGCAGGATGATATCTTTTAAAACCTCTCACTTGAATTACTTTTTATGGCATTTCTTTAAAAAAAAAACTCCTGTGAATTCCCATCTGTGGCCCTCGTGAAGCAATGCAATCAAAGACTTTTTGATAAATAACATCTCACAAGTTATGAAAATAGTAATCCAGGGAGCCAGCTTCCCATTATTTCAATACAAAATAAAATATATCTAGCATGAGTCAGAGAAACGATACCTCTATGAATCTTCATGTTCTAACGTCACTTTAGCCTTGCTGCTAGATAAATATTAAAAATGAGGCATGGTTGCTATATCATTTATGATGAATGCTCTCTCCTTACAAAGTCCCTGACAAGTATATCCTGTACATTTTTACAGCACTGAGTAACATGGTTGAGAGAATTCAGAGGCACGGCTTAGCCATCCAAGCTTTGGCAACAAATCCCATCATAGGCCTCTGTGAGGATGACTGTTCATCTACCATTTGCCAGGAATGGGTGTTCCACACTCATACCATGAGACGTAGTTGACATGAGAATGTCCTCCTATTTCTCCAAAGTGGACAGGTTCTTGACGCAATGCTCTAAAGAAACCTGGACAAAAAAGAACAATACGTGATGAGGAACATATTTTAAATCTGATACATTCTATCCAATTTGTATCAAAGCACCCGATTAAGAGCAGCAGAATTTCCTATTTATTGTAATAAAAATGTACAGACATATAATACTAAATAAATGATTGTGATTCTAAAGGAAATGAGAAAACTAAAAGATTCTAAAATGTCCTCTCTGGTTTCTGAACTCTTATTCTAGATGGGCATCAAAGACAATGACAATGAAGTGGGTGTCACACTGGATTTAAATATAATGTTTTACATTTGTCTGTTATGTCTCATCCCAACCGGTCGCAGCAGATGGCCGCCCGGGAGCCTGGTTTTGCTGGAGGGTTTTTCCAGTTAAAAGGGAGTTTTTCTTTCCCACTGTTTCCAAAGTGCTATAATTGTTGTTGGGTTTTTCTCTGTATGTATTATTGTACGGTCTAGCTTAAAATAAAAAGTGCCTTGAGGCGACTGTTGTTGTGATTTGGTGCTGTATAAATAAAGTTGAATTGAATTGAAATGAGATGTAAGTACAGGTATAACTAATTTCTATTTTTTTTAAGACAAATCATGCAGTATACTGGATCTTAATGTCCAAAAAATGCATGCTCACTAAGGAGCTCAGGAAAATTCAGGAAAACTGAAATAAAGCTTATACCTTGTCTGGATGGGAGCTGGTCAGCTCTGAGCTGTCTGCCCGTTCGCCCATCCAGGAATGAGTCAACGAACTGACAGTGATCCTCACCAAAGCCAGTCTGATCTCCAATATTGTAGAATTTACCTATAAGGGGAAATATAGAGAAACAGATCAGATCTGGGATCAGTTTCCCTGTTAAAGTGCGCAATAAATTCAGCATTTGTACTTACCGTTGAGTGTTTCACTCAGGTAGATCTTGTACCTAAGTGAGTTGCATAGCTGTACACCAACAAACTTGCGGTACCAGGTCCTCTTCACATACTGTTTGCCATGGCAGTCAGAGTATGAGTCTGTCTTGAAGGGGAACTGAGTCCAGATGGCATCTTTTCCTGTACAGAAAAATAAATATAACTTTGTACCTTTAAACAAAGGCTTTTCTTATAACCATGTGGACATAAGGTGGATGTTAATTTACCTGAAACGTTCTCACTCACTCTGGGGTCCGCTAAGGAAAGAATAACAACAGGGTCTTAACAGCTTATATAAAGAAAGCATACTGCACATTGATGTAGGAGTGCCTTCTTATAACGTGAGCCGCAACCCTTATCATCATCTAGATCAGTGATGCAGAACATTTAATTATTTCTCTGTGTTTGAAATATAGGATATCAATTCACTCATGCAATGTTTGAAAAAATCAATATTCTGGATGTCAGCTTTTAAAAAACAACTAAATCAATGACTTGTTAGTAATTCTATCATTAAGTCCAGTTATGGATGACTGCATAACTGATTAATTGTATTTTGCAGGCAATCAGGAGTGAAGTCTCAAGTCTCACATTATGATAAATTTCTAGCAGGAAATTACCTTTATGCAATAGCGGTAATTAATTATACATCTGCAATAAGTTGCAATTCCTGCTAAGTGAATTTGAAATGGGCAGAAACAGTAGCTGCCGCTGAGGGTGAACATTAGTCTTAACTGATGAGCGGAAAGTTTGGAGCATTTTCACTTGTTGTTTAAAACATTTGAAGTCACGGAGAGGTCCTGGAGTTTCAGTTTGACTGCAACTGCTTTGGCTTGTGCATTCTCTAAAGACAGGCATAGTTTGAGTTTAGCAGGAATGTACCTGACTCTGTGTTGAAGGTCACTGGTTCACTGGGAGGACCTGAGCCCAGCTCATTCCTTGGCTTCACCTTGAACTCGTAACTAAAAAATGGGGGAAAATATAGCATTACAATAATACATAATCAGGAATAGAGTCATAACTTTTTCAAAGATGACACAGCAAACTCAGATGCCACAAAGTACAAGAAAATGTAGTACTTACTTAGGTATGAACTATATTGCAAAATCTTATTAAGAACTATAATTTATCAAAGTAAAGTAGAAAATAAAATAAAAACATCAGCTCAGCCCAAAAAAAGTACCAATATATTCTAATACATATTAGAAACTACTTGTTAATAATAGTGATTTTACTGTAGCAAAGGATTTCTCCTTAACCATTTCCACTAGGTCACTAAAAAAAAAAAATACAACAACTATTGTTTTCTGTTCTTTTATACTGTATCAAAGTTACACAACTGACTGTTAAAACGGTTTTATAAGCTTGGACAGTCACAAACATCATGCAACCCGTGCATGACAGTGAAAACCATGACCTCTGCTCACAGCTCTTTATTTTCATATGGTTTTACTGGAGTCCAGACTTGCCATGGGCCAGACTTAATTTCTAACCACCTTCCTTCACACCAAAAGCTTTCCCACATCGCGGCTCGTTAAAGCGTCAGCAAGCGTAACAGATGCTCTGCTTATTTTACTGGGCTCAACTGACTTGGGCTGTTTGAACAGCTGAATGAAATGGCTGCAACGCCAACCAGCAGATGTTCAGTCAGATCTGAGTTGCAGAAACACTTAAAATCCAGAGATTCATATGTATAAACCTGCTTTATTGTAATGAACTGGTTTGGTTTGGAGTGTTTTCACATTTTTCATGTCTTCTCTTTCTTCTGTGTAGCCGACAAATTGACTGGTTCTCTTGGCTACACAGCAAATCAATCTCATAACATGAAATCATGGTAAATAAATCTGCAGATAACTCCTGATGCTAGGCTGTGAAAATTTGCACATGGTACACAAGGCTAGTCGATTTCCAATCTCAAATTCTACAATTTAGAAATCGACTTTGACTTCAACTTCATGAAAAGTAAAGTTGAAGAAAGAAAACTAATTTAGGTAGAACTTACCTGCTCTCAGGTTTGAGGTTCTCTACGGCAGTATGAGTCTGGTTTGTAGTCAGGATGGAAACCTGTTCTCCATCTGGGCCTTTAGCAGTGGAGATGACTTCGTACACTGAGAAGAGGATGACAGAATTAGGACATGACCAACAGAATCGTGATAGAACACAGCTAAAACCACCATAGGAGTGTTATAGGTTAATCACCAAAGAGTTTCAATTTCATTCAGTTTTTTGTTGGGCTGCTGCAATAAAAATTCAGCTAATAAGTACCAGTGGTTTCATTGTCAGTCTTCTCCCAGTCCAAGATGATGAAAGATGGGCATCCCTCCACTGTCACCACAGTGAGGTTGGAGGGTTGAGTCTTTGGTGGTGATGTCACATTTGTCTCACTGGGTTCATCTTCGGGAAAGTAGTTGAGGGAAGAGGTAATAGAGCAAGGCTCATCTGGTTTCTTTCCAGTTTTGTAGATGACATGAGGTGCTGTAGAAAAAGAACATGAATGTAAAGCATAAGTATCATTGGGGTTTGAGGTTCACTTTGTATTTGTAATTGGAGCTGGAACAAAAAATGCTTGTTTTGATGTCTGTATCGCTGTACGGTAAAACCCAATGTCCTGCTAAAGTGACCATTTCAGCTTACCTACGTAACGTTTTTTGCCCATGGCGTCAATCTCAGAGGATGGCTGTGATTTAAAAAGATCTGACTCCTCCCATGACTCCTGTCGAGGTGCTGAAAGAAGAAACACAACACAAATTGTCTAATTTCAAGAATAAACCTTCTGGGGAAAAAATGACCTTCCTTTTATGTGCAACATTTTTTGTAAACAAAGCAAAATATTACAAGAAGGTATGTCTACTTCTTGTAAGCTGGTTTGTGATATTTTGTGCATATTGTGCATGTCCATGAATTTTTTTTTTCTTTGTTTTGTTTTTGTGGGTTTCTTTTGGGAGTGAGTATATAGTTAAAAAATACTATATTTTCCAAAAGCTTTATTCAAAGAAAGCAGTGACTGACATGAAAACTTTTAAAGTGCCCAGCAAGGCCCCATTTGGCAGCATATTGTAAATAGACTTCATGTTCAATCATTGGTCACATGCATTTGGTTAAACTAGCAAAACATTTCAAAATAAGCAGGAGAAAATTGTCTTAAATTGCAGTGTGCATGTGGTAAACTGGACGAAACTGGGCTGATGACTACTACTTGATTGCCAAGTGGAAATCTTTGTACCAGTAGTAGTTGGTGTTGCAGTTGTGGTCTGTTTCCGTTCTTGTTTGATCGGCTTGGCGGTCACTGCTGGTACTTTGGGTTTCAGGACAGGCAGTTTATCATTCTGTTTGAAGTTGTTAACTTTGTCTGATGGAAAATATGTAAACAAAAACAGTTCAACCTTCAGAAAACTATAAATGTCGCAGTTAAACAAGGGTGTAGACAAAGTTCATTGTTTTTCTTATTGAGTTCCTACCCGTTTCTCCAGGTTTTCCAACCAAATTTGGCTTCTTGTTGATCTGTATGGCTGGACGAGCAGGAGATCCTGAAAGAGACAAAAACATTATCTTGTTACAACCACCTTTTCAGCCTTTCTTTTACTGTCCTGATCTAAACCATCTCTGCACTTGTGACTTTTTGTATTAAAGGGTCTCTTTCATGTACAATCATTTCAAATTTCTTTTACTACTATTCATATAAAGTGCTGCAATAATTTTCTAAAGTATTACATGATGGGAATGTCTCTGCTTTAGATCAGATTCAGGCTTGTTCTGTAGTCTGTGGACAGTATTGCTTTACATAAGGCAAAAATAAAGCTTTTACAGCCAATTTGGATCTATTTTCTAGCCAGGTGCTGTCTAATCTCTTGAAAAATACATTTTTTCAGCTAAGGTAGAACTCCCTACCCATTTCCAAATGCCAAATGAACCTTAAAACATGAACAATTCCTTGTAATCCCACAAGATCTTTTGTGTTTTTCTGACTAAAGTCCAGAACCTGCAGCCAATTACACCCCACCCCTACCCCCTTTCCTCTTATTTAAGCAGAAGCCAAATTCTTCACAATCAAGGAATGGACTCAGTTCCAAAACTAAATAGAATAAATGCAAAGCCAGGAACATGAAAGATGATGGAGTCCTGAAACATGTTAGCTCGTAACATGAAACAACACAGATGCATTCCTTTCAATCAGTTGCATGTAAATATGTATGATGAGCTGCCTGTATGAATGTTTGCTGTTGTTTGACATGAAGTTTGGTTAAAATTGTTTAAGCTTCATAGAGATATTTTGCTTACTTGGATAAACCTTGTATTATTCTTGGACATAAATTAGGAGGCTTGTCAAGAAACCACAAGAGGTACAGTGTTCTCAAAGGATCATTATATTGCAAGGTCAGAGTGGAAACTGTGCTATAATTATAGCCTATGTTCAGAAATGCCTCATGATTACAATACAGGACTAGAATAAATAAATATTGGTATAATTTTTTTCACACAAATAATTCTAAAATAAAAAGCAAACAGAGGTTTCCACATTCTGATGAAAACTGTCCAATGCACGCCATGCTGTCCTGGTTCGCGTGAGGGTTTTCTAAACACGGCATCTCTGCAGCAAGATGTCTGAAGCTCATCGCACTCGCAATCAGGCAAGAAGCACAAGCTGAAGCATTTGGACCCTGGACAGAAAATTTTTAAAATAATACCAAAGGTCCAATCGAGATGCCAGGTTCATCACAGGCTAATTAGAAACAGTCTCCTCCTTTAATTTCTGTGGTGAGAAAAAGTGCAAAGCTCTGCAAAGTGAGGTTCTGTAAAAGTAAGCTAACAATCAGGGGAGCGCATACTTTCCAAAGCCTTTGGCCAAAACTTTCAAGCTGACGGCCAGTATTTTCCTTCATGGTCCTTCTAAAGATTTGTTTCTGGACATGTAACACCACCAAACCATGCAGTCTTGGCGATGTAGAGCAACTGGAGCGACAGTCAGCACACGGCATGGGCAAGTTTTGGGTGCAGACAAATGAAATTCATGCCGTTACCAACCATAAACCCACTCTTCTGTGGTGGGACCCGAACGACCAAACACTTCAGGGAGTTCAGACTTCTTTTCCTCCAGCAATGAGTTGTTCACTGCAGCAGGAGAGGCACTGCGATTAAAACTGGAGTCTATACTCAATACTGAAATAAAGCCCTGAGACGCCTTGGCCATTTTTCCTGTTTTGCATTTTTAAGTTTCTGTCAAAAAGTCATAGATCAGTGGTTTCTGGGTGTTAACATACAAAAGACAAAACATCAAAACTAGAAAACTGATGACACCAAAACCAGCTCATGCATACTGGACAGGAAGACCATGCCCACCATGACACCATGCACAATGTAAATCATTAACTGTATAATTCACTATAAGCTTTTGTAAACTGTGATCTGACCGGGTTTCAATTGTCAGATGGGTTCTGAGGGTGGCCTAACTCATAATACAACTGAATCTAAAGTGAAAGTTCTCATAACCCATATCACCCTCTTTTTTTAGCTGCTTATGAAAGACTTCAAATTCTATTGAATTTTCTGATGCTTGAAAGTCACTGCAGAGAGTTTAACCTCTGCTGAAGGTATTACTAGAATAACTTCTATACACTTTTGCTGGTACAAAAAAACCAAACAAAAAATATGCTTATTCTTCTAAAAAGACAAATGAAAAAAAGGTTTTCTAATATTTTTCTTTCATTGGTACGTTAGTTCCTATTCCAAATAAATATTGCAGCCAGTTTGTGCCAACAACTTGTTAAGCCTATTAAAGTAATTGTTGGAGCAAAAGGACTATTTTCTTTCCTAGTTGGGTTGGAAACTACTTCAAATCATCAGAAAGTAAACCAAACACTACAAATAAAATAATGGTATTAAGTTTGAGAGAGAGCCCATATAGCAACTATTATAACTACTACTATATTAATGTACAGAGTAAAGCTCAACAAGTGTAGGCAGGTCTGAGCCAGCAATAACACTCCACTACACCAGCTCTCATTAACTAAGTTACATTTTAGAAGCATTACTTTAACTAAAAGAGTAACAACACTCCCAATAACATTGATGCATTATATGTATATTTTTAGATATTTCTCTATAAACTTAAAAGGCCAGTTTCAGAAAAAAGATTCTAATCAATTTGTAGCTCTTGATAATAATCTTGACAGATTATTTTCTGTCAATTTCTATCATTTTCAGCAGATAACAGACTCTTTTCTTTAGATTATAACTCTGGAAACACTATTTAAACTACACACAGCTTTTTTTTTTAAAAAAAAAAAAAACCATCATGCTAATGTTCCCAAAAACTGCAAAAACTGTGCAGTAGCATAAAAAAAGTTTGAATTGTGGGGAAATGGCCAAAGTTTAAAAAAAATCAATAGTCAACCCTGCAGACAACAAATAGCTTAATTATTCAATACTTTTGTAAAACACAATCTTTAAACATACATCCACAAACAACCTTTTTCAGTGACCTTAGTGTATTATCTGACCGTTTTCATCTGCAGATGGAGTTCATCCAAGAAAATATACATTATTTCAAACTGATCAGAGTTTAATGCTTTTGAAACTGGTTCTAAGGAATAATTGAAACTTTTTGTGAAATATTCTACATGGTTATTAGAGCAAAGCAGTGAAACAGTGAAGCAGTGAAATGTTTTTTTAGCCCAGCACCCAAAGAGTTGAAGAGGTCTCAGGTCTCTGAATTTGCTACAGTTTCCCCAACCACAACCTTAAACCAGATGGTTAAATACTCCCCACCACCAACAACTTGTAGAACACAGAGGGACACAATCAGCTGCTGAGCTTAAGTAACCAACTCACATAATCAACCATGTGCAGCGGCTTGATTAGTTAAATCTCTCTGACTGAAGCTTTGCTCAAAACTGGCTTGAGGCAGCGAACGTGGGACAAAAAGACAACACAGATGGACAGACCAATGGTGGACAAACAGGTGGATGGATGGGTGAATAGTGCATGGACATTAAAGTATTAATAAAAAAATGGATGGACACAAAAAACACCAACAAGAGCTGCAGTGGAGGTGAAAATGCTGCAAAAGCGAGTGAAGGGTTAATGATGAAACACAGAAAGACAAACAAGGTCTTTTTTACCCAATCGAGGTCGGGACCATATGGCCGGTTTAGGTGGGGAAATGCCCCGGTGTGGTTGTCCATTTACTGTTGGGAGAAAACTGAGTGTTATGAAGGGAAAGAAACTGTCTCTGAAAACTGAACCTGATGAGAGGACAATCAACCAAGTCCTTTTCTAACCAAACAAATCTTCTTTTTTTTTTACTTGTCTTGACTATTTGGAAAACACCTACTTTTCCCATTTTTTCCCCAACTTTTGTCCATTTCCTTAACTGTACAGAATTCCTTAATTCTTGTCATGGATCAGTTATGAACCAAAGATAAAACTTTATGTGCATTATTTATTGTGGAAGCAATGTAAAATCCCACTAGTTGATCTATTAAACTTTAAGCCAAAGCTTTTAACGGACTTGTGTGGTTGTTCGCCTGAAAGGTTCATTTAGCAGCCAACAGTTAACAAAAATGAAGTTTCACAGCATTTAATCAGAAAAAAGGCAAAAGTAAAATTGTGTTGAGGGGTGATGAGATGCGAAACAGTGTTGAGACACATAAGAAATTCTTTCTTAAAATTGAAAGAATAGTGGCACAGAAAACCATTGCAGAAGCCTCCAAATTGTCTCAGACAGTAACAATAGATGGGAAACTGGAAGATAATGAGTCCACAAGAGGGAAAACCAATCAGTGTTGATTAGAATATCTCACGATTCTACAACCTAAATAGTAGGTATATTTGATGTTTCAGTTCTTTTTGGTATCAATTTTTCATCGACTTGATTTTAGAATCTTGAACAAGAGAGAAATATAATCAATGAGCCTGTAAGTATTTTTCCATCAAATTTACATTTGACTTGAAAAGAAAAGTCAAACTTAAACTTCAGTACTTGAAATTAGACATATTTCATGGCTTAGCCTATCAAAACATTTTCCCCTTGGACAGTAAAAGACAGCAAAGCAGCAAAGTGAACATAACAGAAACAGGTACAAGGAGGATTACCCCCAAGTTTCCCTGAAGTTGGGGATGAGTTACTCGATCTAGAGGAGGGGGAGTGGGGCTGTCTGAAGCCATTAGAGAAGGGAAAGAGAGGGTTTCTCGATGCTGGCCTCATGGATCCGGTAACTGTGGTAGCTGCTGGGTTGTAGGGCTGCAAGGGCAGCGATGGAGTGAGATTTCTTTTGTTTCCTTGACCTAAAAGATCAAAAACAGTTGCACGGCCTGTGTTACAGTCTGATCTGACCTTTATCTGTGTTGGCAGACAAGCGAGCTTGCAGCAGCCCTGTGCAGCATCGTTAGTGATGGACCATTAAATCTGATGTCATTGAATTTATGGAATAAATAAACAAATGAGCACGATGGGACCAAGATGATTCTTTAAGCGCTCACAATCTTGAAAAACCAGTCATCGAAGATGCTGATGAATTTTGATAACTGGAAGATTGTGTGCTGCATGCAAACACCAGATGAAATGTGCGTGAAGGTGATACTCCTGGATTGAGCAGCCATTCCTGTGGAAAAAACCTTTAGTGCTAATTTCACTGGAAGCTGCCTGGAAGCTCAAGGGAAAGAGATGATTGCAAATTAACAGCAGACAGACAGAGCAAGGTTGCTTTTGATTGCAAGATGAAGGAAGCTGTTTGTGAGGTTGTTATTACCCCATGTGTTAGTTTTGGCCCGCTCATTGGCCAGTGCTGATCTCAGCAGTGATGAGCCGTCCTGTGATTTGCCAACAGCTGTATGAAAAAAAGAAGGTTGAACACTAAAGAAAAATGAAGGCCTTTTTCAGTTTGAGAGATGGTCTGCATCCTGTCAAATTAAAACCTGAAAATGTAAATATATGTAAATATTCTTCTTAAAGTTTGCCAAGCAGAACTGACTGTTGAGAAGGTAAGACACGAAAGGCAATACTTTTAAAGCCTCAGTTACATTGCAATTCAAAGTGCATTTAAGAAGTAGGATTTGACTATGAAGACTTATCATGAGCTCTTTCCTCAAAATCTTACAAAGGTGGTGTAGAACCTAAAAAAATGTATGTGATCAGTGTAGGATGTGCTGTCTTTAGCCAATAGTCCACCAACTCCTGGTAGCAGGCTGCACATATATGCCAAGTCTTTTCACATAGTGCAAAGTACATCTGGCACTTGCCTTGGTAACAGGGTGATATAGTAACAGTCGCCAGGGCCCTTTGACCTCAAAGGAGCAGTTTGTGGAGGCAGAAATTAAATCTAAATAAAAGTAAGTATTCAGTCAGTTATGTCTCTGCTGTCTAAAAAAAATACACTTAAAACCAACCAATTTTGTAGAACTGCTATGATTATTTTCAACACGTTAGGTAATGTGTGATGAAAAGATTTTAAGATCTATACATTTTTTTTAAAAAAGTACTTGGTTGACAGCAGCTGAGTGTGCTACATTTCTTTGCAAAGTTCAACTGTTGGATGAAACTCTTATTTTTGTGGGCCCACACACAGTTTAAAAAGAAAAGAAAACACACTGATTCATTTGGTGAAACATTGTTAACTATGCTCATACTCATTTTTAAAGAACAACATTGCATTACTTACACCCCCAAAAAGCTTAGATATTGAGAGATACTACATCTCACAGAAGCAGAAAGAGGATTTTTTAGAAGAAGCCAACTTTTGAAAAGAACATTTGGCATTTTTGGGACAGAATATGGCAAATGCAGTGAAGCTATTTGCAGATGATGCTTTTATATTCATGGACACCATACACTGAGTCTAGAACATTTTTAAGTATTAAGAGACGTGGATAGACAAGACTGATATTTTTCAACCAAAGCTGACTATGATAAAACTGTATGTTTTCTAAAACGTAATGATTATGTCACAGACAAAAAAAAAGAAAGAAAGACAAAAAAAAGATTTTAAGGAGGAATTACCAGTGGGGTTACGAGGCTTCTCAGGTGCACTAGTGGGTGCCTTAGTGGTTTGCACATGAATGGAGTCACCTCTGGAGGCTAACTTAGTAAGAAGGACGGCTGTGATGTTGGCATGGGGGGCTTTGGTGGACAGAAGTTTGGGGAGGGCAGGAGTGGGAATATCCGCTGGTTGGGTGGTGTTGTTTCTAATTGTGTTTCCTTTTTCTGGGATGAAAGAGAAAAGAGGTACTGAGGTCATAGGAAACTGCTCAGTGTTTGTTTTTGCTTGATGTGTACACTATGATATAAAATAAAACAGACATGCATTTTGACTAATTTCATCCAGCAACTCTGGAGAAATTCAAGTCATCAGATACATGTCTTTCAAAACTGGAAATTTGTTTAGCTTTTCTGTCAGGATAGGACATGGTATAGATACTTCATTTGATACTAAATAAAACATGTTCATAATGAAGGGTCCTCACTGGCTTATTGGTTGGTGATATGCAGTAGTGTGAAAAAGTGTTTGCCATCTTCCTGATTTCTGTTCTTTTTTATGTTTGTCACACTTAAATGTATGAGATCATCAAAAACTGTCAATATTAGGCAAAACACAGAATGCAGTTTTTAAACACAGGTTTAAGAAATCACTTAAATAGCACCTGCCTGACAGAGTGGAATAGACCAAAACATCCTCAATGCCATACATTATGATGCAATCCAAGGAAATCCAGGAACAAATGAGAAACAAATTAATTGAGATCTCCCGGTTTGGAAAACATTATAAAGCCATTTCTAAAGCTGTGGGACTCCAGAAAACCACAGTGAGAGCTATTATCCACAAATGGCAAAAACATGAAACAGCTGTGAACCTTCGCAGGAGTTACCAGCCAAGAGGTCACAAAAGACACCATAACAACATCTAAACAACTGCAGGCCTCACTTGCCTCAGTTAAGGTTAGTGTTCATGACTCCACCATGAGAAAGAGACTGGGCAAAATGGCCTGCATGACAGAGTTCCAAGACCACTGCTGAGCTAAAGAGCATGAAGGATTGTCTAAGTGTTGCTAGAAAACATCTTTCCGATCCCCAAGACTTTTGGGAAAATACTCTGTGGAGTGACAAAATAAAAGCTGAGCTTTTTGGAAGGTGTGTGCACCATTAAATATGATGTAAAAGTAACACAGTATATCAGAACTTTATACCATCATTAAAAAATGGTGGTGGTAGTGTGATGGTCTAGGGATGTTTTGCTGCTTCAGGAACTGGAAGACTTGCTATGGTAAAAGGAACCATGAATTCTGCTCTCTACCAAAACATTCTGAAGGAGAAGGCTATAACATGCTTGGTTTCTGCAACAGGACAATCATTCAAAACACACCAGCAAGTCCATCTCTTAATAAAAACAAAATGGAGATTTTGGAGTGGCCTAGTCAAAGTCCTGACCTCAATCTGACTGAGATGCTGTGGCATGACCTTACAGAGGCAGGTATTGCTCGAAAACCCTCCAAAGTGGCTGAATTACAAGAATTCTGCAAAGAGGGGCTGGGCAAAATTCCTCCACAGTGCTGTAACAGACTGACTGCCAGTTATCGCAAATGCTTGACTCCACTTGCTGCTGCTTGTTCCAGTTATTAGGTTTAGCAGGAAATCACTTTTCACACTTTTCCACATGCAGGTTTTTTTTCCCCCTTAATAATAAACACCTTCATTCAGAAACTGTTTTTTGTGTTTACTTGTGTTATCTGTGTCTAATATTGAGTTCTATGTTCTAGAAATGAATGCTGAATAAAGATCAGGAAAGGGGCAAACACTTTTTCACACCATTGTATTTAGCCAGCATTTTCCTGTTGTAGATCAAGATCTAATATTTCTGTTAAAACCAGTTAGAAAACTCTGGTTTCATACCAGATACCCAGCCCTAGATTCCAGAAGATTTGTTTATTTTCAAACAGATGCCTAAAGAATTTGATTTTGTTCCCTATAATCTCGTACCTCAGAGAAATACAGAAAAGTTTGAAGACATTGTACTTTGGGAGGATTTTGCAGAACGACTTGTGTTGGCTTTCCTGGATGGGAAATTCCAACCACGTCTGCGTCTGAACTGGCTGACATGCACTCCTGTCATGCAGACTGACTGAAGAGAGCGGTGACTTGCAACAAGTAGGATGGGGACAGCTGGACAGACAGACAAGATGGATGACAGAGGAATGGAGGAGTTCTGACTAAAACTGGTTTACTTTAAATAGCTGATGGTTTGAATATAATCTACAGATGTAATGATAATACTGTAGTGTTGAGCCCTTGTACCTCTCAGAGGTAAAAATATCAGGTATTAATTGAAAAGTCTAAGAAAGAAAAATATCATTGATCAAAGAAAGCAGATGAAAGGAGAAAAGAAATGAATGCTGAAGCATGATGGCTGTCATATACATTTCAGCAGTGTGGTTTGAAAAAATGAGCTGCAGCTACTTTTGGAATGGGCAGGCCAAGGGGAACTTACTGATCTCCAGGGACATCATTTCCTCGCCTTGTTTTGACTTTCTAACTGGGCTTAAGACATGCTAACATGCAGCCAATCTCAATAGCTGCACACCCCACCCCCACCCCTCCCAGGTGCATCACAGGCTCAGGCGAAGCAGATAAAGATGCACTGCAAATGAGTGAAGCTGATAGTTAAAGAATAAAAGAGCGTCTGTTTCGTTACCGGGGGACACGTGAGGAAATTTGGGCTCAGAAGAGCCAGGCACAGGGATAGTTTCCTGCTGGCTCTCGGGAGGTGCTGTTGGAAATAACACGGTGGGTTTATAAAGGGAAAAATGTCAAAATTAAAGAGGATAGGGTTGGAGAGACAATCAATTCTTTGTGAAACCTAGTTTGGGAAAAGCAGCCATTGGGTTAGACTGATGAGGCTTTTTATAAACAAATCTTCAACATCCTTTAGTGCTGTGAATTTCTTACTTTGAAACATTTAAAGAATGTTGCTTTCTCACTTTCTCACATCTGCAATGTGAGGATTGAAACTGCATTTTGGTGCCTGTTTTCCATCAGTAGAACCCTTTAAGGAAGCTTTTGTGCTGTGCTGTGTGAGCAACTTCTCTGTTGCCCAGAGAGGAAGAAAAGTAAAAGTATGCAAACAGGGAGAAAAGAAAGAAAGAGCAGTAATCACCAAAGGACGTGCGTGGAGCTCCAGGGAACCCTGGGTTTTTGAACAAAGTAGGCGTTCGAGGGCCTGTTCCATTGTGCAGGGCTGCAAACAAGTCAACAAAGATGTTAAAGAAAAACAATGAAATGGTTCAGCATGAGCCGTTCAGCAGACAGATGTCTAAGTGCAGAATACAAGTCTGATGTTTTCAGAAAGATCAGCAGCTATTATATTTGGTGCATAAAGCTTGGCTTGAACTTCAGGATAATTGGAAGTTGTTGTGTTTTTCCTACTGCAAAGTGTGAGTGTTTCGAACCAGCCTGAACCTGTTTTGTTGTGGTGGCCTATGAGAACACATTACTGACTGTACACACCTAAACTGAAGTCCAACAGATTCCACAAATCACGCCAGGAAGAAATAATGACTGAACAGACTATATGTTAATTAAAGACAAAATCATAAATCTTACCATAACGAGGAGCAAAGAGGGGTGTCTGTTTGTAAAAGAAAAAAAAGAAAGAAAGAACAAAGAATGTCAACTTTAGACATGTTTAAATCAAATATACATAAACACAAGGACTCCTAAGCTCATGATGCACTGCTTTGAAAAATTAGACCTCAACCTTTAAATTCTGTGGAAACCCAGATGTAATTTTCCTTTAATGAAGACTTATTATCTTCACCTTTAATTTTATTTACAATATGTTTGTATATCTTCCTATTTTCTTTCTTCAAGTTTTATTAATTTAAGAAAACCTTTTTGGCATATTCATTGCCATAATACTTTACATTAAATATGAAGTAAGCTTACTGACCAAAAACAAATACACAAATTAAAAATATGGCACATTTTTTGATGTTTTAGAATTTAATCATAATGAATAGCCATAATTATACAAAAGCAAACAGTAAAAAATGTTATTAATGTCACATAAAGTAAGCGCAGCATAGTTTGTTCATGTTATTATTTACTTCATTAAATATTTTTCAAGTACATTTTGAGGTATTTAAGTAAATATAAAGTTTGAAGCAGTCAATTCTACATGTATCCATGATTTAAAAATTTAAAAGGTCATCACATTTACATCACAGATGTAGCAGCATTTAATTTGTTACAGTACAGCAGGTTACTTACCCCCAGCTTGACTGGAGGACTGTTACGCGGCTTGTATGACTTCTGTCTATTTTTATCTGTGAAAAAAGTGCAGAGAAAAAGCAGTAAAATTAATCATTATTATTATTAAAAATCAATTAGCCATTGCTTTGCAAAAAAAAAATGATAATAAAAACTTTTCTTGGAAGAGATTGTAAACTTTTTCTTAACATCAAAATCAAGGCTTGATGTTTTCTTTAGCTTTAGCCTTTATGATTCCAGTGGTGACAAGTACTTAAGTAACTCCTTACTGCCCATGCTGGTGTTGTGGATGACGGGTTTGCTCCATGTGCCACTGCGGTCATCCTTGTTGGAGCGGACGCCAAACTCATAAGGCGTGTTGGGTTTCAGGTTATCAATGACTGTGTCGCTTGTTGGGCATGTCTGGTAGATCCAATTCCTGTTTCTCTCTCTGTAGCGGATAGTGTAGAATCTGATGGAGAAAAAGGAAAAATGCCTTTACCAACAGCAAGGTGGTTAGATTGTCTGAAAACTGCCCTTGGAGCTCCTCAGGGTTCTATTCTTGGTCCTTTGTATTTTAACTTCATATGCTTATATGTAATGTTCTTTTATTTTATTTTATTTTAATTCTCAATAGCTTGGTTGTGTTTCAGCAATAAATCGATTTGGCCATGCTTACATTCATTGACTTGTATAAAACACAACGGTTATCTTTGTAATTTACCGAGAGGAAACAGGTAAAGTAGCTGATCTAAACATGTTAGCAACCAGCTGCCTAATACTAATTCCAAAAACTACAAAGAAATGGGTTAATTAGACTGACAGTATCACACATTTCTGGAGGAGTGACTTAAGCTCCTCATATTTTAGGTTTATATTGTGATAAACACAAATAGCAAGCCAAGTCTTTGAAACAATTAATGCCATAATACCATTATGGTAAAGATTTTTTTATCAAGGATAGGAATAAAAATTACCTACAGATACAGCTGTGTAAAAAAATGTATATGTTTGTCTACAAATTAACTGGTCTGTATTTGTATCCATTGAAAGTGTGCTGTACATAAATAAATCTTTGGCTAACCAGCACTTACCACAGTTTAGGGAATCACAAAATGAGTTTTTGATTTATTTTACTTTTTTTTAAATTAGCTATTAAAATAACAAAATGCTTACAGTTACAGACTGAGAACAGACTGCCAGATGGTGTCCCAAATAATGGAACAAACTCGCCTGTAAGTCTTTGCTTTGGCAGCTCTTTGTTAAAGACGCAGGTATTAACAGGAACTTGTGTGACACTGATATAAAGTTCCTATGTAATCCAAAACTATGGCCACTATCTTACTTAAGCAGTTTGAAATTGTACTAATATCTGACCAACTGTTTTTATACATTGCTGTTAAGTGAAATAATGCTTTGAACTTTCAAAACTAAAATCAGATAGATGCTTAAAGAGCCCATTTAGAGCTGCAGAACAAAAAGAATGTGCTTTCAAAGTGCAGCTTTTACATTTAATAGACTTTGACCCACTTTAAATACACTAGAATTGTGTCTAGTTGGTATTAGAGGGATCGAAACTATATAAGGAGCCATAATGTCTGAGATTCATAGGTAGAAAAACTGGGTTATGCAGAATTAAACAAAACTAAATCACTGATGACTGTGGTTGCAGGTCTGCTTCGTAGACTGTGCAGGATGTGTCCGGCTGCATCTTGTCAAAGTTTCCCTGATCACAAGACTGAAGGTTTCAGAAAGCATCAAAGTGTCCCAGTGGTACAACATATGGATGACATACACAATCCAGTACCAGCGTCTTCATGCCGTGCGGTTTCTCTCTGGCTGCCTGTATCCACCGTGACCTCAGTGTGGAAACAACTTCGTCCATTAGGTGTTGTTAATTCTGGCGGCCACAAAGCCAATCTCCACTTTCACTCCTTCAAGTTCTGTTTTTCAGAGCAGGGATCCAAAAATCTGAGGCAGCAGCCAAACCCTCCACAGATGGAGCTGACATTAGGTTTTAATAAGACGCCCAGAGTGGCAGAGGACGCCTAGGTTTTCCTAGGTTTTAGGCTTTCCAATGGCTCCTCCAACTTGTTTGACAGGGAAGGAAAATATGTATTATTAGAGGCAGCAGAGATCAAGGGGTGATGGAAAAGAGCATTGGTGAGTCTCAGTCAGTGTAATATCACTCAACACACTGGGACAGTTCAAGCTCAACAGCAGTAGAGATTTCAGGGTTGTAATTCATCATCTTGATTGGTTGAAGGTGATTTGTCTCTGAGTAACGTCGAGCTTTGGAAAAGGGCTTTCTGGTTGTCCATAAAACATAAAATACACAAGAGGAGGAAAAAAGCTTTCATGTTCACTAAACCAAAACTGGTTTTATGATGAATCTGTGACATATGTGAAGTTACTCATCATAAAGGTAAACCCCAAAAATTAATTGGCAATATTTTTCCAGACTGTGAACTGTTCCTTAACATATTCCTGAAAGCTCAAAGCTTTAGAGACAGAGCTCAGTGTACAGCTTAGACAAAATATGCAATCAGCATTGGGACAACAAGTGAAGTTAATCACCCGTCTTCCAGACATTCGTTCATGATGTTCCCTTCATAGGGTGTCTTCAGATAGTTTCCCCAGGACAGTAGCACAGCGGATGGGCTAATAGAACCAATCACCAGGTGAAGCGGCTTCTCCAGGTTCACTTTACCTGTTGTGACAAGTGAGTACAGAGTGAGACTATGTGTTGGCCTGTTTATCAGTTTGAAGCCCACATGTAGCTACCAGCATACCTGTGCAGTGTTTCTTCACATCGTTAGCTGGGATTGGTTGGACGGCCACCAGGTACTTTGGTTCTGCATCTGAAAAAAAATGTCAAATGAGGTCAGGCTTTGTGATGTACACCCAACAGAATGATGCAGACAAAGAGGAATAAAAGCCAACAAAGTTGGATAAAACCACAAAACACAGTTGCAGACAGTACCTTTTTTTTTTTTTCAAATAGTGGTACAGTTACAACCTGTACTGCTGCAACTACCATGGCAAGTATGTTGCAACCTTCCCTACAGAAACATGAACATCTCATGTGGGAGTTCACAGAGGCTGAAACATGTGAGGAATTCTCCACTCTGTTATGGTGATTATGTCATGGCGGGTATTATTGCCCCCTCCCTCCCCCACCTTCCTCCCACACATGGACAGAAAGTAGACACACAGATGTGAATGATTATAGATAAGGAGAGAGTTTCTTTGCTGAAATACAAGGATGGCAGTTTAAACATCCACATGTGAAAACACTCACATCTTCTTTCATAATAATCTGATTTTCATCCAAGTCAAATGTTTTCTGCTTTTGTTCTTTGCGTCTTTAACTCTAGAGTTCAGCCTCAACTTTTTTGCGTTTATCTGTAATTTTTTCTGTTCTCACCCACATCACGGTTTCCTTTTCCAGCACAAACTCATCTCTTAGTCTGACTTTCTTTAGTCAATTTAACAGTGCAAAGTGTGGCTTACATACAGGAACATTGGCCTAGTTCCCCGTAAAAATAAAGAAACTTTTGTAAATGTCTGGGAATCACTGAGAACTCACTGATATTATATTCAGCACACATAACTACGGCACTATATGTATCATAAAACACTACAAAATATAAAATCACAAAAGCTACAAAGAGTTTTAAAAAGGTGTAAAAAAAAGTAAAGTATTACAGAAGTTATGATGTAAAAATAGCTACAAAACTGCAAAACAACTAGGTGAACGCACCAGAAGTCTTATAAAATAACAACAAAGTTTTGTAAAACAGCTATGAAGTGGTTTTAAAGAATAAAAATTACAGGTCAAAATCATTTGTAAGCCTACACTGAAAATCATTGTTCCTTTCTTAGTGACCTTTGAACTCCTCCTGATGACTGAGCTCTCTGAGTTTCACTCAGTCATCAGTGTGAAAGTAAAAGTTCCACCCTCACTTATTAAACCTCTCTGGAGACCTTTTTAAATGATGAATGACTGTTAAAGCAGCTGCTGTTTCTTCCTGCCTTTAGCATGGACACAATTCAGCTTTTTTATTTATGACCAGTTATGGGGGAGGAACTCCTCACTGTCAAACTGAACACATTTACTCTGCAAATATCGTCTGATGTTTGTGATCAATAACTCAGCTCCTCATATTTGATTAATATTTCAGCCTTCTGTGCAATCAATATGGTAATTTTTTTTCCTGTATCACGATGTTCTGTAGCATCTAATAAAGCCGCAGCCAGGTGATGAAATGCTTCTTTATCACAATCTCCTCCTACACCAGACTTCATTTAAAATTATAGCGTTTTCTGACAGTTCTCTGGACTGAGTGATGTTTAACTTTCCAGTAAGAAAATGTCCTGAAGCTGATTTTTTTTCTAAAAACAAACCAGTGTCTTTGTTGGTTTGAGAGGAGACTGTATTCATCTCTACAAATGTAAACATGTCCCACCCCCCAAATGACCCCATCAATCACATGCCCTAAACAGATTAAGGATTTGTCTGTATTTACCAAACCATCCTCCAAACCTGAGCCAAAATTCAGATGTTTTTAACACCATACAGTGCTACTGTTTCTCCACTCTCGTGCAGTAAAGTTTAAATTGAAACAGCAACAGTTTGCCTGCAGAGGAAATGGTGAAGTATCCCTGAGTCGTCATGAAGCCATGTTTGTGTCTCATGTGGCTAAAAAAACCAAAACCCCGAAACCACCGGCAGCGTCGGATTTAAAGAGTCAACACTGCGGTTGCAGTCCTCCTGGAACTGCTGATGGATGATCCTCCATTGAGGGTTTTTAAACAGGAAGGTAAACACCGCAGGAAATGTTTAAGAGCAGTTCTGATACCACAGTCCCGCCCAGATCGTCAAACTGACATGACATGACCTTGAGGCAGAAGTGGCAGTGATGAGAGATGAGTGGTGAAAATGAAGAAGGAGATTAAATTAAAATTCTCCCAGAGGAGCTCCAAGATCCTCCTGTATCTAACTGTTTATATGTGTTTATCATCTGTCTTCTGGATTTAATTTTCCCACAGTGAGGAAAGTAAACATGACATGGAAGAATGGGATACCTGATTTTCCCAGCAGCACATGAACTCAGCATGTCTCATAATGCCAAGAAAGGAAGAAACACTCAGATCTGAATTATTCAAATCAAATAATCTGAAGATGTTTGGATGTGTGGTGAGCTGTCCACCAAACCTCAGCCAGATATTGCACAGTTTGAACAAGGTACAAACCCATATGGAAAAGAAAAGAAAATCTTATAAAGTTTGTATCTGTCTTGTGTGAAATTTGTATGAAAAGCATACAAGAGTGAAAACAGATATAAGATCCTTAGGAAAATTGTATGTATGTATGTTTTGGATACTTACTAAAACAATATATGAAAGTGGCCACTTTCATGAGTAAATCATATAAGCCTTATATGATTCACTATATGAAGTAGGCCACATCTGATGCAAGTCTTTTATAATTTTTTTCTATTTCGTTTCCATATGGGAAGCAACTAAGTAAAGAAATGAAGCTCACAATTGATGAGAAAAGCTTTTCTGTTCACCGAACCTAAGCCAAATTTTAAGTCATATTAATTAATCATCAATGGCAAAATATATTTTATGTCATCAGAAATATACCAAGAAAATCAAAGCTAGACCATGCAAATTCTGGCAATTTTTAATCAGAATCATCAGAATCAGATTAGCTTATTAGTCCCAGAGGAAATTATGTGGTCACAGTTGCTCAAAGAGAGTCAGAAAACATATAGCATCCAAAAGACTAAAAAAACAGACCCAAACTTAATCAAAAGTTGGAACTTCACTTCCATATCTGACTTAAGTATCTTTAATGAGATACACAGAGAGACTGGAGTAAAGCTGATGTTTCTCAGCAAACTGCTAATGTTGTACCAATTTATAACACAAGCAAAAGTATTATGCCAGAGTTCGGATGTTTTCATCAAAGCCAATCAAGCAGTTGATGAGAAAATTGTCTTTAAAAGTTTGGGCTCTTTCTTTGAAGTCTCCACCAAAACTGATGCCAACTTTTAAGGAAGTTCCATCAATCATCTGAGGAAAAACTACCACATTTATTTTTTACCAGAAATCTATCTAGAAAACCAGTGCCAGACTTCTGGCACAATTTGGCTATTTCTACCATAAGATTTGAAGAAAACAAAAAGACAAAAATTTATCATCACACGAGTAAATGAGGGCCTGTCTACCAACCTTCAGCCGCCTCTTCATCATTGAATTAGTATCTTAGTGACCCACACAGAGAAAGTCACTATTACTGTACATTAATCAGAAAAGTAGGGACGCAGTGAATAAAGTATTTAAAATAGCACCATTAAACTTCAGCCAAAGTCTGTGTAATTTTAAACATAGTAAGAAACTACTTCCAGCAGGATGAAAAGAAGCTCAAAGCTGATAAGAACTGCAACTGCATCCAAAATCAGTAATGTCATTCATGAACAGCCCAATTTAGTTGATTTTAAAGAAAGTACAAAGCTAAATTCGCTACACTCTCATCACCAAGAAATTAAGCTCTCGAGGCTAAGAGAACCTGGATAAAAACATCCAAAAGGCAAGAAAAGTTGAGCGTTTTGGAACCTGTCCATCAACCGAAATGTTGTAGCCTCTTGACTTCTAATTCTGCCAACATACAAGGCGATACTGAGCAGAATTTGGGTTTTCACACAAAGGATCAGCACGAAACCTCAGCCAAATTTAGTCATATTTTAATGTTTCATAATGCCAACATGAAAAGCAGTTTTAACCCAGGATTTATGTTTTTTTTTCACTTCCACATCTCTCACTAAAGCAAATGTATCCAAGACCATAAACAAACTTCAGCCAAATCTGGTGCATTTTTGTGAGCATAATGCAGAGCCAATATTTGTCATTAGATGATAAATGGGCTTTCCTGCTTGAGGAGAAAAGTCCTCATAATTCTGGTCTAAATCCCAAAAGCTGCTGCAGTCATTTAGTCCCAAGTCTGCAGGAGTGCAAACAAACTCATCCTGCATGAAAACTGGTGTTGAAGGATGACTTTCAGCCGGTTTTCTGTTAACCCTCTCACTGTGGCCGATTATATGCATCATACCATTGCAACTTTTAGAGCTTTCTTGGTGTGATGGGATAAAAATTCTTGGCTGCGCTTCAGAAAACGGATCAGAGCCACCTGCTGCTGTCACTGTGAGACTCTGCTGCTTCTCAAAGCTTCTTACATTCTTCTTTTCCCGAAAGTATTCCTACAGAAACTCTCACTTTCCCACGAGTGTAAAGTTTTAGACATGGAGGTTTGGTGGTCACACCGATGCAGAAACAAAAGTTCCAGAATCAAAACAACGCAAAGTCGTGGTTTGGCACAGATTTAATCAGCTCCTCATGAACCTGTTTAATGTTTTAAAGACAGACACTAATACGTTCAGATTCTGAGAATTGTATAAAGGGAAAATATTCGGAAAAGGGAGTGGAAGGTTTCATTTTGCCCAAGTGTACAATTTTTTTCTAATAAACTTTTAAGGAAATGCATAAAGATCTGCTGCCTTTTATCTGCAAAGATCATCTCCATCAACAACTTGATACTGATTAAAACTAATGGAAAAGTAAATTGGAAAAGAAAAACATTATAAATATACACATACTGTAGATGAAGAAATGTTTGTGGGTCTTACCCATCTCAGTCTCGTAGGGCTGTCCGTTTTCAGGCAGCTGGATGAACTGTTTGGAGAACATGCTGCTGCCGTAACCCAGAATATAACCCTCTAACTTCACATCTGGACTTGGACGCACAAACTTCATCACAATGGTGTCACCAGTGGCGTTGATTCGAACCTTCATGTTCTGTCGACGCACTAAGGAAGAGAAGAAGCAAGACTATTAGGGAATATCAGGAATTCAACAACAAATACTCAAGGTGAGAAAAAAATCATAACATAATCAAAGTTCATATAATAAAAATTTACAGAGTCAGAACTGTGTGATACATTAAAAAGACATTTTGGTTTTTGACTCAAAAAATTGGTACCAAGACCAGATTTAAATGTTTCAAGCTCTGATTTACTAAGGCATAAATATGGGTTGAAGACCCCCTGGCAACATCTGGTTGATAGGTAAAAACGACTGATAATGAGTGGTTGCTGGCTGTCTCAAGTTGAAATCAGTCATAAAAAGGGTGGCTGTAGCTCGGGTGGCAGAGCAGGTCAACCACTAATCAGAAGGTTGGTGGTTCAATCCCAGGCTGCCTCCTAGCTGCATCCATGCCAAATGTCCTTGGGCAAGATACTAACCGCTTGTTTGCCTACTGGTGGTGGTTAGAGGGGAACCATTTGTTTTAGCTTTACAGAAAAATCAAAGACCAAAGTGAGGACAGACAGGGACTCTGTGGGGCGATCGTGGCTCAAGAGTTGGGAGTTTGCCTTGTAATCGGAAGGTTGC